AGGGTGAGGTCGTGGTATTTCCACTCGCCCCACGCCTGATGCGGCAGCAGGGAAGGGAGGCGAGGGAGGGAGGAGGCATGAGGAAGGCGGAGAAGGGAGGTTCGGGGAGAGTCCACGTACCCTGGTGGGACGAGTCAAACCATCAACGATTCACATGAGAGGCTCAACAAGCCAGCAGTGCCGAGTGCCAGGCCTGCAGAGTGATGCTATGTGTGCCATGTAAGTTACGCTGAAGCTGGAGCTCGGCACGCAACTTGTGGAAGGTATGGGCACCCAATGCTGTGAAGAGGAGGGGGAGGAGGAGGAGGAGGAGGAGGAGGAGGAGGAGGAGGAGGAGGAGGAGGAGGAGGAGGAGGAGAACGCGGCGGAGGGAGGACGCGTGTCTAAGCGTCTGGACAGTTTTTGCGCCCCGTCGGACGTCAGGCAGAATCCGGACGCCTCCAGAGGCCCCTGGGGACCTCTGGAATCACCCTCGGAAGTTGCTGCAGAAAGGCTGGGCTGCGAGGCAGAGAGAGGTTCCCTGATCACCGGCTCGACTGTTCGCCCGATGCAACGTCGAGCTTCCTTCCGCCTCTCGCCACGCACCTGCAAGCTCCTGCCGCAAGGCAGATGCAGGCCGACGCGAAAGCCAGACGCGCTGTTCGGAGGAGGGCCACTTGCGACAACGGCGGCTCTCCCGCTTAGACTTAGGTCGGACATGTCCTTCTACAGGCGTGTTGTGGGAGAAAAATAGAAAAATACGAAAAATAGCCACAAGTAGCCAAAGTCAAGAATAGTAAGAACAATCGAGCCCGACTATTTGTTTTGACTATTTTTGAATCTTCCTCCTGTGTAGGGACACGCCCGACGGGAGTCGGGGGCGGCCAGGAGGGGGGCGTCCACGAGGTGGGGGTGAAAATCATGGCCAGCGGCACGTGCGCGGCCCAGTGGAGGGCCAGGGACGCAACGAAATAAGAAGAGGCGCTATGAGACCTGGGGAAACATCATGGCCCACGCCATGATATCCATCCACCCCTAGTCATCACCCCCCTCTTGGCCGCCCCCGAAAACAAGTGGGCACAACTCCCAAGATACCCTACATGCTTCGATGCTTTCTGGATGTTCGTCTTCCCCTCCACCCCACATCTGCTCCCATATTTTCCTCGGACTCGACTTTCCGTGGTGTCTGTGGGCTCGTCCCTCTCCTGAGGTATGGTGCCTCGGTCCGTGCGCGTGCTCCTCAGACGTCGGCTCCTGGGCCCGCCATCGGGTCCCTCTTTGCCGCCCCCAGGCACACGTCGTTCATTGCTAGTCGTGCTCATCTCTAAGTGTGCTCGTTTCTGATTGTTCCTGCCCCCCCTGGTGGCCAGGAAGAGGCCCAGGACAGAACAAGTAGAAAGGATACGATCTTGGCCCCCCCCAAAATCAAAGACCGTCCGAATAATTAGAAACGAACAACGCACACAGCTCATTTCTAATGCTTGGAAGGTTATTTGATTTTTGGGGGGCCAAGATCCTCTCAGTTCTACTTGTTCTGTCCTGGGCCTCTTCCTGGCCACTGGGGGGCCAGGAACCATCAGAAATGAGCACACTTAGAAAATGAGCACGAGATCCTTTCATTTCTAATTGTCCTGTCCTGGGCCTCTTCCTGGCCACTGGGGGGCTAGGAACCATCAGAAACGAGCACAGTTAGAGAGCGAGCACGACTAGCAACGAACGAACAGCGTGTGCGCTCGGACCCCCCACAGGGGGCCACAGGGGGCCGGCCACTTGCCCCGCCCGCCCCTCGAGAGCCCGGGCAGGGGGCCTGCCGGCGGCGAGGCGCCTCCGCCGGCGAGCCCTGGGAGGGGAGGGCGCGAAACACGCTGGGGAGGGCCGCCGTGGTCCAGAGGTGAGGAGGCAAGGAGGATGAAGTCCCATGTGGGCCTCGGGTTAAGCGGGATTAAGCCGGATTGAGCGGGATTCAGGCGGATTATAAGCCGGGTTAAGCGGGATTAAGCCGGAATGAACCGGATTTCGGACCGGGGCGAAAACAGAATTTGACCTCCCAGGAATTACATCCGAACAAAGGGGCCCAGGGACACACAAAGATTCAGAGACACAAGTAACAGGATTCTCCATCTGTTCCCATCTTTTCTGGGTTTCGGTTTTCCCCCCCCCACTCCCCACATTCTCGCACATCTTCCTGGGGGTCGGCGTTTCATTGTGTCTGGGTGTTGTTTCCCCTCCTGATGGTCGCCGCCCAACGCATGAACACCACAGATGAGGCTTTGCGTCGTCGGCGGCGAGGCAGAATTAGGTCGGGCATGTCACCCTGCAGGCCGGCTTTGGGCGAAAATTCAGAAATAGTCAACAAATGTTCCAACATGGTCAACAAATCGTACCCAGACTATTCTTTGACTATTCTGGAACATTCCCCCTGTAGAGGGACAGGCCGGGCTCAATCTTCGTCCACGCAAGAACACCAAAGGTGAGGCTTTGTTTCGTCGGCGGCGAGGCAGAGGCAGTCCGCTCCAGCGTGTGGCTATTCGGGGCGACAGAAAAGCCAATTGACCAGCGTGCCAGTGGGGGCGAGAAAGAAGAGAGCGGCCGCGCAGGGCGAGGGGAAAGCGCTCAGGCGTGGAAGAGTTCCGCGTCGAGCGGGCCAGAGCGGCCGTCTGCGGTGACCGTGACGGCAGCCGGGGCCGAGGTGAGGGCGCACCCACGGGCGCTGCCAGGTCGCAGAGGGAAGCGGGGACATCGCACAGGCTGACCTGCCACAGGCGAACTCATGCTATGAAGCATGGCCTGAACAAATCGGCACTGCGGTTGCGACAATGGAGGAGGAAGAGGAGGTGAGCGTTTTCTTTCTCGGCGTTTCGACATCGGGCGGAGGGGGGGGAGCGGGGGGGGTGTCTGGCTCCGGACCTCTGCTTCGTGCGAGTGTTTGGAGCAGCGCGTCCTACGGGGGAGACTCCACCTGCTCGAAACAGGCGCCAACAACAGCCAAGATCTACTCCATGGGGGGGGGGAGGGGGGGTACGAGGGACCGCGCAGATCGGCAAGACAACGATAACCAGGGGGGGGGGAGGAAGAGGAGAGGGAGGAGAAGGGCGGGCTGCCGTTGTCTGGACTGCCCGCCCCCCCTGGGAGCCGGGCCGGCTGCCGTCCTCGCAGGCCTAGAGATTGACACCAACACCAATTTCGGCGGTGTGCCTCCACCGAGGGAAGAAGACCCCGATCTCGATGACGGTGGTGATACTCTGGCCTCCAAGGTGGCCGAACTACTGCCACCAACACCGAAATCTGGGATCGCCTCCCCCCTGTGGAGGCAGCCCCCCTGTCTTGGTGTTGGGTGCCCATTTTTCCAGGCCTCCGACGTCCGCCCCACATCCCCCCCCCCCATGCACTGCTTGCCGAGGCCCGCGCCTCCGATGCTGCCCCTCTCGGGTCGGGCGAAAGGGGGGGATAGCAAAGGGGGGGTTGGAGAAGCAGCTCGCGCGGCTGATTTTCCCGGCGCCTCCTGGCGCCGGAGGCGCCCATGTATCGAGGAACGGGCCCCTCGGTGGGGCCGAAACCAGCTGCATGCAGCAGGTTTCGTAACCCCCCCTTTCCCAAACGCCCCCCTTCCGCCCGACCCGAGCCTCCGATGCTGCCCCTCAGCGTCGCGGGCGCCCGATCGGGAGGCACGGGCGGCCCCTTCTCAAAAGACTTCTCTGAAGGCCCGAGGGCCTCTGGTCGGGGAGGCGTGCACCCTGCGAAGTGCTTAAGAACTCATGGGTCAAGAAATTCAGAGTCTCAGAATTTGAATAAAAACCCCAGAACTTCTATCAAAATTTTAGGATTCACATTGAAACAAAAAGAATAATCGAGGCTCTGGCCGAAACCTTAGGTTTTCTTAAGCATCGCCTAGGGTGTAAGACTCGGGTACGGGGGACTCGGGTTGGCCTGACGGGGCCAGCATGAAGATGATGAGAACCAATCTGAAATCTGGCGCGAGCTCCCGCTGCAGACGTCCCACGAAAACCAGACCGTCAAAATCCAGGACGCGCTCGTCGACAACACGGTCGGCAAAGCCGAGTCCCGGCGCACGCGAGCCTCGCCGCTTCCCCGAACAGCGGCCTCTTCTTGGAAGACTTCTCGGCAGGCCCGAGGGCCTCGGAACAGCCCCGCCGCCTCCCGAGCGGGCCTGCCCCCTCTCGCCTCCCCTCCCGGCGCGCCGCCGACCCTCGTCGACGCGAGGGGCCCTGCGCCTCCATGCCGCACTCGAGGAGACCCCGGGGCCCCCCCCCACGGCGCCCTTGCTGCACCGCCCCCGGGGCCTACGCACGTGGAGGAGCGGGGAGGAGGAAGAAGAGGGCTTCCGCGAGAGCCTCCCTTCCCGAATGCATGGCCTCCCAGAAGCTAGAGGCCTCCCAGATGGGGTCCGAGAAGAGGGGGTCGGAAGATCGCGCCGCGCCGCCGATTTCTCGTCGATGCATCGGCGATGCACCGGCGACGTCAGCGACGCATCGGCGCCGTTGTCGTGGAACAAAAACGCTTCTCACATGGAGACGCATCGCCGATACATCCGCAGTGCGGCGCGATCCTCCGACCCCGTCTGCTCCGATGCTATCTGGAGGCCTAGATGTTCGATGATCCGCGGCGATGGTCATCACTCGCATCGGAAATCGACCACGAAACGCGATTACTCCAATATTGTTTCCCGCCGAATCATCGAAACAATACGTAAGGTGTTCGTAGACAAACAAGCATTCGACGTGCCCTTCGTACATGTAGCGAACTCATTAGGAATAAGTCGGGCCCGTCCCTCACAGTAGGAATATTCAAAAATAGTAAAACAATAGTCTGGGGACTACTTTTTGAATATTTCTTGGCCCTTTGGGAATATCATTTGACTTTTTATTTTTCGTCGAAAATCCCCCTGTAGGGGGACACGCCCGACTTCACATTAGGATAATCAAGTATGCAGTCGATCTTCTCATCGAGTGGCCAAAGTGCTGGCCCCTCAGCGCCCCGGGGCCACCGGGCCGCCCGCGGCGCGCCCCAGGGGGCACCTCCCTCTGGCGAGGGCCTGTGCGGCCGCGGCGCGGGCACACGACAACAAACAGCGGCATGGCCCGACCCCCCGGGTGGGCACGCCTCACAGGGGCGCAGAGAAGAGACGAGCGCGCTCCACTGCTCGCAGAGTGACTGCTCGCAAATGGCCTGGGTCCCCCGCCAAGGCTCTACGATAAATGACATCAGAACAAACACGTGTTTTTTTTCGGACGTTTGCGAGTAGGCACTTTGCGAGTAGTGGAACACGCTCGGTGAGAGAAGATTGGCGCGCTGCCTTCCGGGAAAATGCTGCTGCACCCTGCGCGCGTTCTGCCGCCCCTCCCCCCCCAATACCGTACCGCTGCCCCCCCCCCAGTGCGTCCCATGGCGCTGCCGCAGTGCGAGGCGTGCGGCACCAGCCTGCGGTGCCAGACCCACGCGGGGCGTGTGGGAGGGGAGGCGTTACAATATTCTCCCCCCCCCCCTCCCCTCCCCCGCCAGAAAGCCCGGTATCGCCGCGAGTGAAGAACGCGTCCAGCAAATATGATCAAAAACTGAAACCGGCCGCCGTTCGGCAGGCGACCTTAACTGCCTCAAACGGATAACGTCCGCGGCGACACCAGCAGTCCTGTTAGGGCGGGTCGTAATGGGGGGGGGCCTACGTGGGGGTGAAGAAAAGGGCCCCTTCAGGACCATGTTCTTCATCCCCCCATCGAAATCACCCCGCATTACCACCCGCCCGACCTGTTCACAATGAGCAAAAAAACGCCGGTCTTCGTCCCCACTCTTTCCGCACCTACTTTTAGGCTGGGCATGTCCCCCTACATGCGGATTTTTTTGGCGAGAAATCAAAAATGCCACAACAAACAAATTGTCAAAACTTGTCAAACACCGTCCCCATACGACTTGTTTTGACTATTTTGAATATTCCCTCTGTGGAGGGACAAGCCTGACTTAAACCTACTTCAAGCGTGCCGAGCTGGCGGGCGGGGATGATGCGATTCCAGGGGCGCCCCGGCGTCCCCGCATCTTGAGCGCGGGGCTCCTCTTCCTCCTCCTCCTCCCTCCTCCTCCTCCTCCTCCTCCCTCCTCCTCCTCCTCCTCCTCCTCCTCCTCCTTCTCCTCCTCCTCCTCCTCCCTCCTCCTCCTCCTCCTCCTCCTCCTCCTCCTCCTCCTCCTTGAGGGTTCCAGGGGGAGGGCGGGGGGGGGGTGGGCCTGTGTCGAGGACGTCGAGAAGGTCTGGTTCAAGAAGGGTGATTTCGACGGCTGCTGGGGCGCCTCAGGTCGTGCTGGAGTGCCCAAGGTCGGGTTGGGAGGACCTCGAGTCCAGCAAAACCAACCTTGTCCAACGAACCCTTCTGGCAGCCTCCGACTGAGGCTGCCCAGCCCGCCCTTGCCCGCCTCCGAACCCCAGCCTGCACGGAGGAAGCCGTCTTTCGCCCGAGAAGCGAACGCAAGGGGATAAGAGGGGAAGGTCTGGGGAGAGGGTCCTTTCGGGGACCTCTCTGGCACGGATCCCCGCCCGTACTCCTGGCCGCCTCCGACGCAACACGCAACTGCGGGATTAGGAGTGGCAGCCAGGATCTTTCTCTGTCTCCATGAGCCTCTGGAGGAGGCGGTTGTGAGGCGGTCCGTAAGCCTCGTGAATGCCAGAAGCCTCTCCCCGCCCTTTTCTTTCTTTCTTTCTTTCTCTCTCTCTCTCTCTGCACAACGCGTCCAGGGCGCCGCTTGGAGTGAGGTGGAGGAGGAGGGGGGGGTGAGCAGGAGGACGAGGCCAGAGAGGAGGGAGGGCGGGCTGGGGGGAGGGGCAGCGGCGGTGGCGGCAGCGGCATCAGCAGCGGCCAGCCCAGCGAGGCGCCCCTCGCCAGCCGCCAGCCGGAGGGAGCACGAAGCGTGCCCCGGGCCGCACGGCGCGGGAGTTACGCCCTCCTCTGGCCTGGCGGGGCCGCCTCCCGCCGTCAGAGCTGCGGCCTGGGGCGCCGCGAGAGGCCCCCGGGAGGGCGAGGGAACGAATCGGAGCGACCCAACAGGGCGGGCAAGTGCCTAGGCCTCGTCTTGTGTGCATGGAAACATGCGCGAGAGACATAAGAGCAAGCTGTGTGTGTGTGTGGGAAGGGAGAGGGAGGGGAGGAAGGACGGTGGGAGAGGGAGGAAAAGGAGGAGACAGGGAGGAGGAGGAGGAGGAGGAGGAGGAGGAGCCAGAGGAGGAGGAGGAGGAGGAGGAGGAGGAGGAGGAGGAGGAAGAGGAGGAGGAAGAGGAGGAGGAGGAGGAGAAGGAGGAGGAAAACGGCCACACAGTGCGCAGGGCACGAGGCGCACTTTCGTCGGGGCGCCTCACAGGCGTGGACTAAGGCCACGCTCGCCAGGCCCAGCTGCCAGATCTTCGCCACACCCAGACGCATCCGCGGCGTCTGTTGGCGCCCACGGCAGAGGCGGGAGCGGCCGAGCAGGATAAGCGGGGGGGAGGTTGACGGAGAAGGCGGCGGCGAGACCTCCTCCTCCTCCTCCTCCTCCTCCTCCTCCTCCTCCTCTCCTCCTCCTCGCTTCTCCTCCTCTCACCTCCTCCTCCTCCTCCTCCTTCCTCTCCCTCCTCCCTCCTCCTCCTCCTCCTCCCTCCTCTCTCCTCCTCTCCTCCTCTCCTCCTCCTCCTCCTCCTCTCTCTTCTCCTCCGCCTCTGCCTCCTCCCCCTCTTCCTCCTCCGCCTCCTCCTCCTCCGCCTCCTCTGGCTCCTCCGCCTCCTCCTTCTCATTCTCCTCCCTCCTCTTGCTCCTCCTCCTCCTCCTCCTCCTTTCCTTTTTCCTTCCTCCCGTCCTTCCTCCCCCTCCAGCAGAGGGCCCCCCCGGGTCGCCTGCCAGTCCTCGTAGAGATGGTGCGTGCCTCGAGGACGAAACAACTGCATACACATAAACTGTCGGAGCTCCGCGCTGAACCCCAGGGGGGGCCCTAGCGCAGATCCGAAACATCTGGGCGCAGCTCCGAGAGTCTACGCGCACCCCTGACCCTGACATCCGCCGATCTGCTCTGTCGATCCGCGGCCCGAGAGGTCCTGACCGCTTCTCCCGGAGCTGTTGCTCGCCCCGGATTCATTTAGTCATCGCCACGGGACCCGAACACGGCCCCCGTGACCGAAACCTGAAGAGAAACACCAGTTGAACAAATCAGACGGTGGGAGATCTGGGTCCATGGTTTTCCCTTCTTCGCGTGCCTCCGAGGCCGGTCCAGACGACACCGTTGTACTGGTCGTCCCTGCACATGGCCTCGGCGCGGAGGGCGTGTGCGCGGAGATGGGCGTCCGAGGGAGTCCGCGGCGCCTCTGGACGAGGATCGAGGTTGCAGGCCGGGACGCGGGTCGGGGCACACGGACATGGGCCACTCTCAGGGGGGCGACTGTCCCAGGGGGAGGGAGCTGGAGGGTTTCTCCTTGTCCCCCCCCCTCCTCCTCCTCCTCCTCCTCCTCCTCCCTCCTCCTCCTCCTCCTCCCTCCTCCTCCCTCCTCCTCCTCCTCCTCCTCCTCTCTCTCTCTCCTCCTTCCCCTCCTCCCTCCTCCTCCCTCCTCCTCCTTCCCCCTCCTCCTCCTCCTCTCCCTCCATCTCCTCCTCTCCTTCCCCCTCTTCCACCTCCTCCTGCTCCTCCTCCACCTCCTCCTCCTCCTCCTCGTCCCCTTCCTCCTCCCCCTCCTCGCCTTTCCCTCCTCGGGTCGCTTACGGCCCCGGGGGAATCCGTCCAGAGGGAGCAAACAGCGACCTCCAATCGCCCAGTCATTACCATGAGGGGGCCTGACAGCCCACCCCGCCCAGGAGCGTGCCGCTTGGGAAGCGAAGGCCCATCGCTGTGAAGTCGCAGTGACACCTCGGGCGACACACGCGCCTTTGAGGCGGCTAGGGGGATCAGAACTGGCTGGGACCCTCTGAAATCGGTCAAGAGAGGGGGTGAAGCCAAATCCACTTAAATCGGTTTGCGGATCCCCTCCCAGGGCCCATCTGGTGCAATTCTGTCACCCCAGATCCATTTTGGCGGTCCCGGGGCGACAGCAGAACCCGAAGGCCGAGACGAATGCAAAACACCTGTCCGAACCCAGAAACTCTAACCTGCACCCCCTTCCTGCTGGCCTGGACCTGCGCTGGGCCGCCTCAGACCCCAGCTCTCAATCGAGGACCTCGAGGATCGAGGATTTCGAGGCCGCTGGACGCGCTCGTGCCCCTCGTGGAGCCTCCGTAGCCTCCAAGGGCGGCCTCGCCGGCCGAGGGAGACGGGAGACCACGACGGGGATCAGATCCCAACTGGAACAGCTATTCCCGATGCTCTGGCATGTTTGCTGGCATGAGAGGGGGGACATGGGGGGGGGCGTGGAGAGACCCGAAAGGAAGCAGCCTGGACTTCACGCAAGGCGGGACTCACTTGCACACCTTTTCGGGCCAGCGCCGTTCGAAACGGCGGCGGTGGGCGGAAGGCGGGGGGAGGGGGGGGGGACGTGCCCTGTGCCATGCAGGCAAACTTCCCCAACATCTGCGTACAAACTCTCATTTTCGGCCTCCGGTGGCCCTCGCAGGGCCCCGCGGGACCCTCACGGAACAGCTCGGGGCGAACACCTGTCCCGGGGTGGGGACATGCAGATCTCCCAGGGGTCCACGCTGGGATAAGAATCACTACACTTAGGTCGGGCATGTCCCCCTCCAGGCCGATTTTGGGTGAACAAAAATAACAGTATTCAAACCATATTCCAAAATTGTCGAAAATCGTCGAAACATATTCCCCAGACTATTCCTCCTGTAGAGGGACAGTCCCGACTTCACACTGCACCGGAGTGAATTCTGGGGATCGGTCTCCTGAGTCGTTGCTTGACGGTCCCAGGGCCCAGCGAGGGCTCCCAGAGGCCGAGAGCGGTGCAAAACCTCCCGTCGCGATTTCTTCCGACTCGAGGGGGTCTGGAGATCGGTGGCGAGCGACGGGGGGCAGTGAGGACGAGAATGCCTTCTCAGAAGGCTCGGAAGCCCCCCTGGCCTTCTCGGAGGAGCCTTCCCCGAGAACGCAGAGAACTTCTCAGCAGGCGCGAGTGCTTCTGAGAAGTCCCGCCGCCTTCTACCCGGGGCGCGCAAGTATGGATTAGCGATCCATGGAGTTGGCGAGCGGTCGCCAAATCCATGGATCGGGGGATGTGCCCATCCCAAAAAGCGGCCGGTGCCGCCTCGCTCGGCGGCGGAAGTCCGCGATTTCCCATGGAAGCGGGACCCGTCGCTAATCCACGCCCCCTTGATTCATGTTTGCGATCGCCTGAGGGGCGCTTCTAAGAAGCCTTCCACCCTCCCCCTGCCCTCCTCTGCGCGCCGCCAAACTGGGTCGAGACTTCCAGGATCGTACAGTGGAGGCTCGACCACAAGAAACCCTTCACAAGAAACCCAACCCTGAGGCCCCCGGACGTCCATTGACTTTTGGTGTGGGCACGTCACGCTTGCCACAAAACATCGAAACCCAAGAAACCCAAGGCACCCTGGAGTCAAGCAGGGTGTTGCTTGGCATGGGCCCCCAATGTGTGACAAATGCATGACGTCGGGGGTCTGGGTAAGGAGCCTCTCGCCGCGGATTATACGCGAGCCGCCAGCGTGGCACACCTCGTGGCGAAGAGGGCGCCGCTTAACTACACGCGACCCGACGCGAGCAGCTTTCGCGCCAAGGTCGGTGACGACAACTCTGTTTTGCTGCGTCGCTGCCCACCCCCCGCCTGGCCCACGTCCGCTCAAACTCGGTCCCCCAACCCGTCCCGGGGTGCGTCCTGGCCCCGAGGCCGATCCGCACGTGGCGACGAGAGACCTCCAGGTGCACGGTTTCCCCCGGGGCCGTAGGCGACCCGAGGAGGAGGAGGAGGAGGAGGAGGAGGAGGAGGGGGAGGAGGAGGAGGAGGAGGAGGAGGAGGAGGAGGAGGAGGAGGAGGAGGAGGAGGAGGAGGAGGGGAGGAGGAGGAGGAGGAGGAGGAGGAGGAGGAGGAGGAGGAGGAGGAGGAGGAGGAGGAGGAGAGGAGGAGGAGGGAGGGAGGAGGAGGAGGAGGAGGAGGAGGAGAGGAGAGGGGGGAGGAGGAGGAGGAGGAGGAGGAGGAGGAGGAGGAGGGAGGAGGAGGAGGAGGAGGAGGAGAGGAGGAGGAGGAGGAGGAGGGAGGAGGAGGAGGAGGAGGAGGAGGAGGAGCGGAGGCTCGTTTAATCGGAGAAACCCTGGAGGCCCAACGAGCCTGAAGTCTCCCCGCTGCAGAGGCGGAGAAACGCAACAACGCACGAGGATGCAGCGACCGCGTACGTGGCTCACGCAGGCTGGACGCGCGGCAGAGCACACGGCGGACTCCGTGAACCTGAATCCCAGAAAACCTGCCATCTCGTCTGCACGCAGGAGTGACCCTGGGTAAGAGTGACCTCTGGTGCGCGGCTTCTGCAGGCGCCGCGGGGGGGGATAGGGGGGGGCAAACACGAGCGCGCAAGCCACTGCTACCGCTTCGTGCTCGGCGATCGTTGGACCCATTTGGGCCTGCACCAAAGGTCACTCCGGCGAAGGGCCACTCGTACGTGTCGTCGGCCATCTCTTGCGGGGAGCACCGTTTACTTCCGCCTCCTCCAGTCGGCCTTCCGTGGGCCTTCCGCGGAAGAAGGCGCCCCCGTTTTGCTTCCGCCGCTCTTCTACCGAGGAAAAGGTACAATCTCCCCAAGAGCCTCTCGGGTCGAGCAAAAATCACGACGGAGGGTTTTTCGCTGTGGGGCCCCCAGAGACCCTTGCCGGGCCTCGGGGCCGTCGAGGAACCACTCGGGATCTCAGCTGCCCCGACACGCAAGACTCGTCATGGAGCGTGTTGACCCGGAGCTCAACGCGTAAACCGAACACGTAGGTCTGACGCGATACGTTTGCCAAAACGTGGGCCAATACACTGAGCCAACACGCAACTCGTTGAGACGTACGTTCGGGCGTATCGAGGCAGCTCAGCTCAGGATGAGAAACCGGTCGCGGGGGATTGGTCGAGACCTCCAGGGGTCGACGTTGCGAACAACAATCGTGACGTCGGGGGGCTGGGTCCCTCGATCCTCGCAGGTGAGCTTGTTTTATTCGGAGTCTCGACGTTGTGCGGAAGGGGGGGGTAGACAGGTAGGTAGGTATGTTCGTAGGGCATAGAGCCGATGCGCCGAAACAAGACAGTCCAGGCCAGAAGTTTTCACAACACATTCTTTGGTGGGTCTCCATCGGCAGACCAGGACGCTTCGCCAATGGTGTGCGTTCTTTTTATTCGGCGTTTCGACATTGGGCGAAAGGGGGGGGGCGGGAAAGGGGGTCTGGCTCTGGACCTCTGCTCACAGCTACTGTTTGGAACACCGTGCGTCCGATGGGGTAAGGGGCTCCGCCTGCTCGACACAGGCGCCAAAGAACGGCCAAGATCTGCTCCAGGGGGGGCGGGAGAGGGGGGGGGTGCGCGAGGGGCCGCGCCGATCGGCAAAACAATGCCTACAAAACACGGCCACATCGCAGAGACCCTTTCGGGAAGGCCTCGCGTGGACGGCGCGGGCGCTCGCGCGCGACCTCCCGCGGGGCGGCCCGCGCGCGGGCGCCCGCACGAGCTGCCCGCCGTGGAGTTCCGCCAGGCCCCCTGGCAGCAGGCGGCGTGCGAGGGGCCATCTCCTCCAGAGCCTCTGCTGCACCCTCGCAGTCGGGGTTATTCCCAAGTCGGGCCTGTCCCTCTACAGGAGGGAGGTTCAAAGATAGTGAACAAATGTTTGTTTTGGAGGGAAGAATCTAATTTCTGGGTATTTTGGATTTGTCGTCCAAAATCTCCCTGTAGGGGAGCATGCCGGACGTAAGGTTACCCCGTCCATCCTCCGGCCCCGACCCCTCCACTACCTGGACAGGATGTGGCCTCGAAAGGCGTCCACGAGCGCGTAGATGTTGAGATTAGGGCAGCGTGTTTGCTTGCATGATGCTCCCCCCCCCCCTCAATCCGCCGCATGTTCGAACAACGCTGGGCCGAAACGGCGTGCAAGAGAGCACCGGCCTGCGCGAAGTCCAGGCTTCCTCTCTGGGCTCGCCACGCCCCCCCCTCCATGACAGCAGACTTGCCGAAGTCTAGAGATCATGGGGAAACGAAGAGCTACAGGAGCTGCTGCTCCCCGTACCTCTCCCTGGGTGCGTCCTGAGCATCACTTCGAGGCGACGCAAGCCGAGGCGGCGAGGGCCTCCTAGGAGGCACGGAGTAGCGGTATCGGTACCTTTTCCTCCTCCGAAGAGCGGCTTCCTCCATGCTTTAGCTCGGGCATGTCCTCCTGCAGGCGGATTTTTGTAGAAAGCGAATCGAACAAATAGTCAAAGAGGCACGGAGTAGCGGTATCGGTACTTGCTCCCCCTCCCGAAGAGCAGCTGCGTCCATGCTGGACGCACCACAGGCTGGCGGACGCGGGCACGGCGACCGCGCCCGTGGCTCACGAGGGCCGGCGGCGCGGCAGGCCGCGCGGCAGCTCACGCGCGCGACCTCCCGCGCGGCAACTCACGCGCGCAGGCACGCGCAGCTGGCCCCGGTGGAACTCCGCCAGCCCTCTGGCAGCAGGCGGTGCCCCCATCCCAGGCCCCCTCGAGACCTGGGAACACCACGAGGGGTCGCTATTGTCGGCCTCTGGGGGCCCTTGCCGGGCCGCGGGGCCGTCGACGAAACGACTCAGGACACAAAACCGGTCCCGGGGAATGGGTCCAGACTACCAGACTCAACGTTATGAGCAATTCATAACGTCGGGGGTCTAAGATTGCAGGGGTGCGTTGGGTTGCGGGCGCAGGTGCCCGCGCCCAAGCACTTCTTTCCCGTCGGCGGCGGGGCAGAGGCGGGCCGCTCCAGCGTGTGGCATCTCCGGGCAACCGAACGGCGAATTGGCCGATGTGCAGGACCCGCGGGGGGGGGAGAACGACACCCCCGCGCCCAAACATGCGCTGCACAGCTGCGGCTGCGGTGGCGCGAGCCTCTGGGCGGGCCAAAACGTAGCGCCTGGTTGCAGCTGCGGCTTGCGGTGGCGCGCGCCCGCGGGCGGCCCAGGGTGTGCCTCCTAACGACGCCGGGTTGAGGTTGCGATTGCGCTCGCTCGCGTGCGGCCAAGGCTATGGCCTGCGGCTGCAGTTGCGGCTATGCGCGCCTGCGGGCGGCAGTTGCGGCTGCGCTCGCCCGAAGGCGACCCAGAATGTGTCGCCCAGTTGCAGGTTGCGGCGGCGCTCGCCCGCGAGCGTCCAACAAAATTGTATCGCCCGGTCTCGGTTGAGGTGGTACGCCCCAGCGGGAGGCCCAACATGTATTTCCTGAGCTGCCCGTGGTCGAGAAGTTCAGCGCAAGTCAGGTCAATTCAGACTCACTCCATCCCCGCCGGGCACGGGATTCCGCCCTGCTCCGCCGAGAGAAGCGCCAAGGGGGGCCGCCGCAGTCTCAACAGGCCCATCCCCTGGTCATTCTTCCCGTCCCCACTTCGACTCTCTGGAGAGTAGCAACACCGACATCGGCATAAACATCAACTGTCAAATTTGCGCGCGAATTCCATGGCTCGTCGCTGGATCCCCCTCCCCGGCGCGCAGAGCGCGCCACATGCGGCGCTGGAGGCGCCGCTAGGGGGCCCAAGCGCAGATCCAAGAAATTTGAGCGGCCCTCTGGTTCTTACGGTTCCTCTTATGCAACTATTCTCATGGTTACTGTAACGACGCTGGGTCTTACGCTTCTTATAGTTACTGTAACGACGCTGGTTCCTCTTCTTGTGTCTGAAAGAGAGAACGAGAGAGAGAGAGAGAGAGAGAGAGAACAACAAACAAACATAAGCAAAAAAAGATATGTGCGTGCGAGAAATTACTAGACACTCGGAGGCCTCGCCCACGCCTCTGGCTCCCCCCAGGCCCTAGACATTCGGGCGGCGAGATCTGCACACGTCCACCGCCCCGCCCACCTCCTCCCTCTGGGGAGGAAGCTCCGGGCAGGAGGTCTTGGGCAAGGTCTGGCCTGCGAGAGGCCCTTGCCGGGCCTGCGGGGCCGCAGAAGCGCCTCGGGGTGAAAAAGCTGGTCCCGAGATCTCTGACCAGTCTCGGGCCCCAGACACCTCGAGGCTGATCTCTGACGAGTCCGGGGACCAGCGTTTTTGGACAGTCTCGGGGTCCGAAGCCAGCCCCTGGAAGCTGAGGATGTAGAAAACCTGGGACCCTGTATTTTCGAGTCTCTGGAGGTCTGGGGAGCTGGTCTGGACTTTCCTGGGCCCACGCACGTCGCCAGCCAAAGCCGCCCGCGGCAGCAAGCACTGGCCGCGCCATGCCCGAGGGCGGCGCCGACAGCGACATGCCGGGCAAGATGTGCACCTGCGGGGGGAGCACCACGTGCTCGGGCTGGTAGCCCGTGAAGACGGTCATGCGCATCATGTGCACCTGCGACGGCGCGCCGGCGGATGGTGGGGGAGATTAGGAAGCAACTCCTGGGAGTTTTCGTAAGAACCAGAATTAAAGGCAGTTGTGCCCGATTACGGGGCCATTACTCTGGCTTCCGCCAGGATTGAATGGATCCAGCTGGAATCAGGGGGGAACTAAGCCAGATCAGGCGTCTTTCGGCCACGAATATATCAGCGCCGATGTTGAATTAACCTGCAAAGAATTGCATCCTAAGGGAGGGGACCCCTGACCTCCAAGCAAGGCGGAAATGTCTCGTCGTTCTCGGTCTCCAGGGGTCGTTTCCAACTTCTAGGCCACGAGGCCGTCCTCGATCTCCTAGATCCCCGACCCTGCTCGATCCTCGCTCCTCGATCTACGCTCCTACTCCTCGGCCATCAGGAGGAGGAAGAGGAGGAAGAGGAGGAGGAGGAAGAAGAGGAGGAGGTCGGTCCTCGACCCTCCTCTTCGATCCCTCCTGGATGAAATATCGCTCTGGAGAAAAAATGAAGAGATCCGGGAGAACAGGAACAGGAACAGGCAATCCCACGTAGTGGCACAAAGAACTAGAGACGGCTTCGAGACCGCTGCTCGGCTTGGCTCGAAGCCGTTTGCCAAAGCCCAACATCCAGACGATTCAAGTAGACTCGTCTGTGCGGCTCGATCCGTTCAGAGCGTGACTTCTCTAACTCACGCACGGAGGCATGCGTAGAAACCACAATCCTGACAAAACCAAACATGATGGGCTCGCTGGAGCCCCAACTTGACGGAGGATCCGGTCGCCCAATGCGGCCTGCGGAGAGGGGTGGAAAGAGAGGAGGGGTGCCGTGGTCCTCCCTCGTCCTAGCGTCCTCACCTCTCGCCCTCAGTAGGGGGATCAGGAGACAAGATGGAGAAAATTAGCATCAGCACCTGTTTATGTGAAGCGTGTTTCCTTGTGCGACCCAATCAAGCAACACGAAAACACGATCATATGAATAAGCCAAGTGATTGACACGGGTGATGGTGGCAATTGGCGACTGCGAGGTCTTGACGATGATCATGATGTTGGTGATCTTTTTTCTTCTTCCACGAGACTCGTGCTGAGGAGAATGACAGTCGAGCATACATAGTTCAACTTTACATTCAGGAATCCCTTGAATGGCAACCAAGCAGACACTTTGTCCTGGTATGGTCAGAACAGCGGATGCTGGTGATGGTGGTGCTTATGGTATCGATGATGAGAACATCGACGACGAGGTAATGCGGCACTCGTGATTTTAACCTCCATTTCACATGTGAAATTGAATAGAAGTGGGCTTGCATAGGTTGTTGGAGAACACGAATGCCCATAGGTCGGAATACGTAGGTATAAGCAGAACGTAGGAATACATTGAAAGTAGATTGCGTGGCCGCCCGTCCCCCCTAAAGAGGACGGACACAGTGAAGCTACTCGATCAATGAAGTAGGAAGGCGCTTAAAGTAGGTTGGAATCTGGGACTCCAAAGATACCTACTTTCACCGACCGACGGGTAGACGTGGCCTTGCAGAAGTTGCTGAAGAAAACAACTACAGTGGAGGCCAGTCCACAAGAAACCTTTCACAAGAAACTCAAGCCTGAGACCCCAGGACGTTCACTGGTTTTTGATGTGGGAACGTCACGCTTCCCATAGCAAAACCATCGAAAACCAAGAAACCCATGGCACCCTGGAGGCAAGCAGGTTGTTTCTTGGCATGGGTCTCCACTGTATGTGCTGCACAGCAAGCCATTGGACTTGGAGGATGATTTTTCGATGTGCGCGCGGAGCCGCGCGGCTGCGGCCCGCACTGCATGACTTGACATATAATCGGTTGGCGCGCGGTGGTGTCGGAATGTGTTCCACATGCGCGCGCGCGTCCGGCCTGGCCTCATTTGGGCGATTTCGGAAACCCTGAACCCAAACACGCTTTCATCCCTTGCGGACGCATTTTTTACTCCCGCCGCCTTCCGCCACCTTTCCGCCACCTTTCCGCCGGCTTCCGCTGGCGGAGCCGCCCCTGTTCTACTTCCGCCGACCTTCCGCCGCCTTCCGCCGAGGAAGAGATGACAACCCCTTCTACCCTCGCAGGCAAGGCCCTTGTTGGAACGCCCCATTCGACAGAACTGTAGAAACGGGCCCTCGTCTGATGTGACCGATGTCGCGCGCGTGCAGGATTCGGACACGCTTGTTGGAACGCGATTGGCGTAGTAGCTTCTTAAACGTCTATGTCGTGAGGGGATGAGAGCACCAACTTGGTGTTGCAAGGAGGTTGACATGCGAGCGCCGCGGCGTGCGCGCTTGGCCCGCACGGCGTGATCTGAAAGGCGTTCATACACAGCGCACTCCTTAGATCAATGCGTATGCACTGCATGAAAAAAGTTGCACGGGCGAGTTGGTGCCAGGACCATCGTGGCTGGCATCCTACCATCTGAATTTACCTCGGAACTAAAACGTTGTGCATCAAACATATCACAGGCATTACCCCGAGGGGGAGCGCGAAGTCCATCAACGGCATGGCGGTGGCGTGTTATTTCTTTTGGGGATATGCGTGTGAGTGCGCGTGCGTGTGCACCCCGGAGCGCGAGCGACTGCAAGGGTCGCGCACGAGGCGGACGCGCGCACCAACAGGGCGAAGTCCCAGACGGGAGCATGAGGCTCTTAATACCAGCACAGCCGTGACGTCAAGAAAGCCAACCCACCCCAACCCCCTCTTCCCCCACGATCATCGATCCTCCTCTAGACTCGATCCTCGATCCTCCGTCCTCCTCGAGCCTCGATCTTCGATCCTCCTCCTCGATCCTCGTTTCTCCTTCCCCGATCCTCGATGCTCCTGCTTCCTCGATGCCTGCCGCGCTCGCGGCCATCAACGACTGAAACGTCGAGACAAGGCAGACGAGGCGCAAGCTTCTCCGTGCCTGCGGGCACCGTGCACATAACCCCTCCCCGATCCTCGCCAGCCTGCAGCTTCACAGGCACACCCTTCGGACAAGACAGTCCTCCTCCTCCTCCTCTTCCTCCTCCTCCTCTTCGGTCATACCCTCCTCGATCTTCCTCCTGCTCCTCCTCGATTACCCTCTCTCCTCGATCCCCTTCGTCCCACGTGGAGTCGATCCTCGATCCTCCTCCCTCCCTCGTCCATCCTCGATCCTTCTCCTCCTCCTTGATCCTCCTCCTTCATCTCCACCTCCTCCTCCTCCTTCTGTGCTTTGATATCGACACAACCTCCCTCCCTCCTCGGCCCTCGATCCTCGATACTCCACCGCCTCGACGATCGATCTCCCTCGGTCCTCCCGGATCCTCCTTATCCTCCTTCTGATCCTGGATCCTCGGCCCCTCCTCCTTCGCTCCTCGATCCCCCTCAACTGTCGGGGGCGCGCAGCGATCCATGGATTTGGCACGCGGTCGCCAAATCCATGGATCGGGGGAGGTGCCCTCCCCAGCATGCGGCCAGTGCCGCCTCGCTCGGCGGCGGAAGTCCGCGCTTCCCCATGGAAGCGGGGCCTGTCGCTAACCCACGCCCCCTTGATCCATGTTGGCGATCGCCCGAGGCTCTCCTCGATGCTCCTCCTCCTGCTCCTCGATCCTCGCCCCTCCTCCCTCCCCCCTCGCGCCCGCGCGGCGGCCCGTCGGCGGCCTTGTTCTCCCCGGCCCAGAAGATGCCCAGGAAGCCGGGGCGCCCGCACGCGGCCAGGGGCGTGCTGCTGGTAATGCCAGCCTCGCGTCGTCGTCGTCGTCGTCGTCGTCGTCGTCGTCGTCGTCGTCGTCGTCGTCGTCGTCGTCGTCGTCGTCGTCGTCGTCGTCGTCGTCGTCGTCCTGCTTCTCCTCGTTCTCCTCCTCCTCCTCCTCCTCCTCCTCCTCCTCTTCCTCCTCCGCATCCTCCTACACTTCCTTCCTTTCCTCCTCGTCCTCGTCCTCCTCCTCCTCCTCCTCCTCCTCCTCCTCCTCAAGAGGCCTCCTAGATGGGGTCCGAGTAGATGGGGTCGGAGGGCCGCTCTGTATCGGCGATGCATCGGCGACGTCGACGAGGCATCGGCGCCATCAGCGTGGAGAAAGTCGGGCTCCACATCGAGCCGCATCGCCGACGCATCGCCGACACGGCGCGATTCTCCCACCATATCTACTCCGACCTTCATCTAGGAGGCTTAGATTCTCCCTCCCTCCCTCCTCCTCCTCCTCCTCCTCCTCCTCCTCCTCCTCCTCCTCCTCCTCCTCCTCCTCCTCCTCTCCCTCCCTCCCTCCCTCCTTCCCTCCTCCTCCCTCCCTCCCTCCTTCCCTCCTCCCTCCCTCCCTCCTTCCCTCCCTCCCTCCCTCCCTCCCTCCCTCCCTCCCTCCCTGCCGCCCTCCCCGCGAGCGCGGTGCTCCGCGCGAGGCCCCGCGCGTCGCCGCCGGCCGCTCCCAGACCAGTGCCTTCGCTCCGAGGCCCCGCCCCCCATCGGTGCCCTGTGGCCCCCGCTGCTGGTCGGTGCCCAAACGTGGTGGTGACAACACCTGGCGGTGAGGCGGAGGAGGAAGAGGAGGAGGAGGAGGAAGAGGAGGGAGGAGGATGAGAAGGAGGAGGCGGAGGAGCCAGAGGAGGAGGAGGAGGAGGAGGAGGAGGAGGAGGAGGAGGAGGAGGAGGAGGAGGAGGAGGAGGAGGAGGAGAAGGCGGAGGAGGAAGAGGGGGAGGAGGTCTCGGGCGATTTGGTGTCACCACCCGGTTTGGGGACTCGTGCGGTTTTCCGAGGATGTCCCTGACACTGGTGGGTCCAGGAGTCACGACACCCAGTGGTGACCCCGCGTCCCCAAACCCAGCGGTGACCTTTTCGGGGATTCCAGGTCGCCACCTGGTATCTCACCACCCGGTTTGGGGGTTCCCAACCGTTGCTGGTCGGTGCCCCGTGGTCGGGGCTCTCCGGGGTCGGGGCTCTCCGGCGGGTGCTCTGTGGCATACGCGCGCTCACTCGCAAGAGGTTGCTGCTCGCAGATGGCACGGAGCCGCCGCGGAGGATTGACGGTCCATGTCGTCGAGGCAGGCATGTGCTTCTGTTGTCGGACGATTGCGAGGGTGCACTTCTGGAGGCTTGGACGTGGACACTGATTCCAAAACAGGAGGTTGCGTTCACCAGGGGAGGATGATCTAGATTTTGGTGCTGGTGGTACTCTTTCGGCCACCTAAGATCGGCGGCGCGCAAACATGGATTAGCGATCCATGGATTTGGCGCGCGGTCGCCAATTCCATTGATCGGTGGAGGCACCCTCCCCAAAATGCGCCCAATGCCGCCTCGCACTGCGGCGGAAACCCGCGATTTGCCATGTAAACGGGACACGTCGCTTATCCACGCCCCCTTGATCCATGTCTGCGATCGCCTGATAAGAAGCCCAAATCATACCACCAGCACCGAAATTGAGATCAGCTTCCCTCGGTGGAGGCACGCTGCAGATCTTGGTGTTGGTGCCAACCTCCAAGCCTCCGACACTTTTCCGAGCCGTGGGCCGAGCTCGGTGATCGGTGGTTGGCTGGCCCTGCGCTGGCCTGCTGAGCCCCCTCTGCCTCCCAGAGGGAAGGGAGGGGGAGGGGAGGGAGGGGGAGGGGAGGGAGGGGGAGGGAGAAGGAGGAGGCAGGGGGAGGGAGGAGGGTGTGAAGAGTGCACTCCCCTGCCCCTCTGCCGCCCGTGCCGCCTTGTGAGCATGATGCATATACCTTTCATGTTTTGTGGCGTGCACGTTGCCCGCCGCCGTCTTGGCTCAAGTCCTAGGGCCCTGGGACTGCACCCGCAGTTTGACCGCCGCGCGGTCCGAGCAAAAAGAACTGCACTGACATTGGTAGCGGAGCTTGTAAGCTCCAGCGGACGCACTGCGTGCTCTGCTCGGGTGGCTGCGACCACCCGCGCGCGCCGCCATGGCCGGCAGCCAGGACGGCTCGGACGCGGAGGCGGGGTCCTCCGCCGGCGCAGGTTCTCCGGACCTGCACGCGGTCCTGCGCGTGATGGCCGAGACCCAGAGGGAGATCCTGGCCATGCAGCGGGATCGTGGTGGCGACAGCGGTCCCAGGCGTGCACGCCTACTGCTGTCACAGGTGAGGCTCCCGGACTTCGACGGTGCCGTCGGCACTAGCACCAAGAAGTACCGAGAGTGGCGCAAGGCTGTGGAGGCCATCCGCAATCTCAACCAGCTCTCCGACGTGGAGCTGGGCCTGGTCATCTACAGTCAGGTGACAGGTCGGGCCAAGGAGCTCATCGAGGTACTTGACGCGTCGGACCTCCGACGCGAGGACACGCTCGAGACCATCTTTGCTATCTACGATGACGCCTTCGAGAAGATGGATCACGAGCGCCTGGATCAAGTGCATCAGGAGTGGGAGCGTGCTCACCGTCGGGCAGGGCAGCCCATCATGGACTGGACGACGTACCTGCGGAAGAAGCGCATGGAGTTGCAGCTCGAGGATCCCACTTCAGCGATCAGTGATCGCGCGCTGGCGAGCAAGATGCTCCGTGGTGCTGGGCTGTCGCAAAGAGAGCGAGCGCAGGTGCTCTTCAACTGCGGCGGCATCTACGACTCGAAGCGCATGGAGGTCGTGCTGAAGGCAGCCTACTCGAGGGTGCACGACACCGAGAAGCGCTCGGTGCTTCCTCGCCGCTCGCCGTTTGGGGCGGCGCAGCGTGAGCACGGGCGCTCCTCCGGGAGTTCGGGCGGTCGCTACCCGCACCCTCCCTTGGCTCGCAGGCCATTCGTACCTCGAGGCCGCCCTGGCCAGCACGTGCACGAGGTGGAGAACGGTGAAGACTACGATGAACACGACGGCGACCTGGAGGAGGCGCAGCACGACGAGGAGGAAGCAGACGACCAGGACGACGGAGACCCCGGAGGGGGCGAGGGCATCCTCTTCGAGGACGGCGCCGAGGTCGACGAGGAGCTGGCGTCGGACAACGACGGGCCTGACGACGAGGAGTGCGAGGCACCGGAGGATCTTCAGGAGGCGTTCTTGGCCGGTTGGAGGGCCAAGCAGAAGACGGCAGTGCAGCGTCAGAAGCGCGGATTCGTTGCCCCTCGGCAGCGGGACCCCAAGAAGATCAACGCCAGCGGCTCTTTCCAGGCGGGTCGCAGGACGACTGACCAGCGCAACGCCAACAGCCGGTGTGCTGACTGTGATCAGTCCGGCCACTGGCGCGGCGACCCGGAGTGCCCCAAGGTAAAGAGTGGCGAGCGCGAGCCGTACAACAAGACCGGGCCCAAGAGTGGCCAGCCAGCGTCGCCCAACCAGCGGAGCTCTGCGAAGCCGCCGGTTCCAAGGCAGGTGCATGGGCCGGTCATCCACTGGATTGGCATGGCAGGCAGTGCCGAAGAGCGTCGTGGCCGCGCCCCATGGCGCCGCGCTCCCCAGTCGGTGCCTGCCCAAAGGCATTCGGTAGAGGTCCGAGCCGATGTTCCGAGGAGGACCGTCATGAACCCTCGACCCAAGAGTATGCCTGCGCCACGTCTACGCCAGGAAGCCGACGATGGCCCCGGACCCGGACAGGGCAGTGATGAACGTGCGCGCGCCCTTGCAAGGCGCGGTGAGGATCAGGAGGACGAGGATGCATGTGTGAGTTGCCATCGCATCCTGGCCAACACGCACGCGAAGGGGCACAGCGTGGAGTTGGAGTTTCCTGACCTTGCAACGGTCCATCACATCGTGGAGCGTGTAACGAACAAGAAGCCCATCTTCTTCAAGCAAGGCCGCTTCGAGGCCATCGACTTCGTCCAGGGTCGGCTTATGCGGCTGCAGCTGACCACGTCGAAGCCTTGTACGGCGGCTGAGGTGGATCTCGATGAGATCACGGCGACTATGTTTAAGATCGTGATGGGCGGAAATCGTGATACCAAGCACCGCGACGATCGGCGCGGTGAAGGCGGAGGCCGTGACACCAAGCATCGTGAGGATCATCATCGAGATCGTCGTGACGACCGCCACCGCGATCGGGGAGCTGTTCTCCGTGAGCATCGCGCCCCTCCTCCGCCCGAGGTGGTGGCCTCATCGCGTTCGAGGTCGCGGAGTGCGCCGGAAGGCCGCGGTGAGAAGGAGGAGAAGAAAGAGAAGAAGAAGGCGAGGAGCAGCAAAGAAGAGAAGAAAGAGAGGAAGAAGGCGAGAAGCAGCAGGGAAGTGAAGAAGGAGGCCGAGGTGAAGAAGGAGGATGAGGCCAGCGAGGAGGATGAGGCCAGCGAGGACGATAACGATCAGCGGCGTGAGGATAAGGAGCTGCCGTTCACGCCGGAGGAGATGGACGAGATCTTCTGCAGCTGGTATCCGCGCCAGAACATCTTTAGGGATTACCTGACGCCGCCGGCAACCATCCACTTCATCACGAAGAACGACCGCATTGTGCGCCTCAACCTCTACACGCGCCGCTGCGAGAAGCCGGATTTCTCTCCAAGTAGTGGCCCTGCGAAGGCCCATCCAGTATTCGTGGTGGACGCCGCAGCGGCGCCGTCGGCGAAGGGGGCATCGAAGACGAAAGGATCAAATGTTCCGGGAGAACCTCCCGGGAGCATCCCAGCCGGAGCTGCGCCAGGACTACCGTCCGCCGCACCGACTGGGGAAGCCGCCGCGGCCGCTCCGAAGGACGAGGACTGGGTCATGGCAGGAGCCTCCGAGGACGTGAGGAAGAGTGAGGAAAAGAAACGACTGGAGGTCTTGCAGCGTGACAAAGCCGAGTTGCTGGACCGCCTCGCGCTGATAGAGAAGCAGGAGTCGGAGAT